ACCCCGCGCCCGCTGGGGCGCCTCCCGGGTGCCGCGCTCCACAACTCACTTCTTTTGGCGTCCGCGCCTCGGTTCCACTCCGTGGCCCGGGCTGCAGGGGTCGGTTCCCGCCGCCGCGCCGGCCCCACGGCACCTGTGGTTTGGGAATCGCCTCAAGTTTTGCGGGGCGTTTTGGGGAGGGGCCGCAGCCGAGGACCCCTGGCGCCCCCTGCGCGGCGGCGAATGCCATTGTCTGCTCTGCTCCTCGCCGTCTCCTCGCCCCGGTGCGGCCGGTGGATGGAGTGTGGCCCCGATGGGGGGGCGTCGGCGACGCCCGGACCCGGGGAACGCTGGCTCCGAGCCCGCTCCGCGGCAGAGCCCATTGTTTTTAATACCAACCTCGAGGAATTGTACTGTGTGATTTGCGGCAAAATCAGAGCACTGGTTTTTAACGAGGGAAGGAATACTTTAGGGAGAGTAAATTATCTGTCCTGTAAAGTGGCAGGGCGGATACGAGACTGCTGCAGACAGCCTTGAGCACATACTCCGATCGCTGGCCGACCCCCACCTTTCCTGGACGCCAAGCTCTGGGAAATAGAGTCCATTCTTTTCCAAGTTCTGGTAACGGGTTTGTATTCAGTGTAGTCCAGTTGATGCGTCCCTTGCTGCGCCTTCGAATGCCGCTACATGCAGGATTTGTTGGGAGGCACTTGGATATCTCTGAATAATGTTCATATATTTTGTGCTAGTGAAGGATTTTAAGTGAGATAAAATTGGTTTGCGTCTTTAAGCCGATTTTAACTTTAAAGTTAAAATTGACGCGTCATGAATTTCCAAATATCTTGTTGATACCTTTTTGGATTATTACAAAAAATGACAATAATTTCTTAGCGACTTTGAAAATGTAGGGCTCATTTTATTCTAAATTGATTGAGTAAATTCCGTCTTCTCATGTTCATATTCAAGATGGTATGGTATTGAAAACCAGGTTTGAAATATACCAGCAGTAATACTATTAAAGGAACTTAAATGATAGTTAAAAGAAAAGAAATCTTTCTGAACTCTGCCTTTAAATTGCCTTTGTTGAAACGGTACTTACCTGTTCGCATTTGAGATGACCGGTGGAATTACAAGAAAAACCAAATAAACCAAACCCGTTGCTGTCCTAGTCGATTCTGACTCACAGCGACCTTATAGGATAGCGTAGAACTGCCCCATAGGGTTTCCACGGGGCGGCTGGTGGAGTCGAACTGCTGACGTTTTGGTTAGCAGCTGAGCTCTAACCACTGCGTCACCAGGGCTCCTAGGGTCCCTTAAAAGTTAAACACGTAGACGAATCGACATCTGTTGTTTTGCAGATACCAAATAACTATGCACAAAATAGTGTATCAGATACACTAGAATTCAGCATTCACTCATTCTGTAGATGCTATTTTTGATGGTTTTTAAATGAAGTATTTCATGTAATGTCTCAATATGTGTAATTCTTACTACTTTTGGCTTTTTTAAGGTTTATTTTCTCTTTCGTAATATTACATTCACTCTGTTCTTTATTGTGTGCATTATGTATGTTGGATTTTTTAAAAAATGAGGTGAAAACAGGTCTTTAAAAGTCAGGCTTTTATTAAGAAAAACATATTTATGGGAGCCTTTTTTTGGTGAATGTTTTAGATTGTTAAATTTGGCTTAAAATATGCTAGCATAAACTGAAGAGCGCATTCTAAGTGATAGCAGCCTTGTCTGCAAGGAATTCAGCCTGGAGCTGGATGGCCTCATGGTGAAAAATAGTAGGTCTTCTATTTCAAATGTATGTAAACCAAATGATGTCCACAATTCTTTGATGCATAGAGAGCGTGGATATACATATAGCACAAGTAGAAAATAGTGTTTTAAATGACAAGAGTTATCTTTCTTTTTTTCTTTCAAAAATTTCACTCCAACTGAACTGTTTTTCTTTTCCATGTCCTGCTTTCCAAACTTAAGTGGAATAGGGTGGGGTGGGGAGGTTTGCATATAGTAAGAAGACCTTTCTGGAAGAATCTCTTGCTATTTTATTTGGCATAGAAATATTGATAGCTACTAGTCATTGTCTGTTAAATACACCGCCGCCCCCCACCGCTTCTCTAAAAAAGCATGTAATTTTAATCTTAACTCTATTGAATCAAAGTATTGCATCTAATCTTGGTTTTATTTACCCTAACAGATGCAGTTTATGTTGCTTTTTAGTCGTCAGGGAAAGCTTCGACTGCAGAAATGGTATGTCCCATTATCAGACAAAGAGAAGAAAAAGATCACAAGGGAACTTGTTCAAACCGTTTTAGCACGTAAACCTAAAATGTGCAGCTTTCTTGAGTGGCGAGATCTGAAGATTGTTTACAAAAGGTATGATTTTTATTTAGCAGAAAGTTGAAATAACAATCAAATTTTAGGTCATTTATGATGTGAAAATTGCAGACTTAAGAGATGACATTTATAAATAATGATTAATATTTAAATGAAATAGGTTTAAGGTGAAGCTTTGTATTTGATGACTTACTCAGTCTAAAGTGATAAAAGCAGGGAAATAAGTTATAAAACTATATAATTAAAGGCAGAAATGATTATGCTTAGTTATTGTAGAAAAATTGAGTGAATTCAGTTCTTTGCTGAGGTAAATAGGGTCAGTATTTTAATTTATGCTACCTTTAATATTTTTTACATGGAAAGTAGTATAGTCTTTATTTATATCAGAACCTGTTTTCAATCCTTTAAGGTAAATTTCTCAAGATTGTTCTGAGCAGGTTGAAAAAAAATTTCTTCTTTTACAGAACATTTTTGGGAGGACATTAACTTTCTTCCCCATTTCTGTTTCTTTATGACTAGCTTACTGAGTTTAAGATGTGCATTTCTGCAAATAAAAGTTGTCTCTTCTATGAGAGGTGTGCAGAGAAGGAACAGTATGGGATGCAGTGAGGTAAAGAGGGGTGAAGAGAAGTCTGGTTATTCCACTCCAAGTATGGATGGAGCTTTTTGTGGGGGAGATGGCAGGGGAAGAAATGGCGATTATCGACACAGTTTTTTAAATTTTATCAGCTCCCCTTCTAACAGTAGAATTTAATAATCTTTGGATGATTTTGTATCCAGTGTTTGATTTAGTACTTGTTGAGAAAGATCATAGGAAAATCATAGAGTTTTAGAGCTGGGAGATAGAATAGCCTAGTCAAGAGAGTTTTTTTCTTTCAGCTCCCTTCCCCCACCCCCAGTAGTGGAAACTTAATAAATAAAACAAGAGGAAGTGGACCTACTCTTGAGAAATCCATCGCGGGGATCTTGTACCCCTCTCACTTGACCTCTGCCCTCTACACACGAGACAGTTCCGGAGTTTGAAAACCACTGCTATTAAGCAAAGCTTGTTGGATGAAAAGGAGAATTTGGGAGAAGAAGCTCAAGGTCCTATGCTAGTTAGTGACTGACTTGGGGCTAGAACTCAGACCTTAATCATGTAGGCAAAAGTTTTAAATAAGGATGAAAGATTAGATTTGCATTTCTTAAAAGCTCATTGTGGCGAGATGAGAAGGCAGAGAGGGTCAGGAGCTGGTTGAATGGACGCGGGAAATTCGGGGTGGAAAGCAGGAGTGTGCTGTCACAATATAGGGAGAGCAACTAGGGTCACATGACAATGTGTGTATAGATTTTTGTATGAGAGACTAACTTCAATTGTAAACTTTCTCTTAAAGCATAATTTAAAAAAAAAAAAGCTCATTGTAATAACAAACTGGATGAGAGGCGGGTGTAAGCTGAGACATCAGTTAGAACATTATATTATGATCAAGTCCTCAAGGAAGACAAGGGCTATAGGCTCAGCAGGTGGAAAGAAGGGCTGTTACAGCGGTAAATTTGATTAAGACTTGGTGACTGCTGGAAGTGGGGAAGGCAGTAAAGGAAAGGGAGGAGTAGGGTGACATCCACATTTCTGGTTCTGCTGACTTTGGAAAATGGTGAAGTAGAAAACTCAGCTTGTTTTTGGACAAATTGGCTTTGGGATGCCTGTGTAACTTCCATTTGGAGATGCCTAGTTTAAAGGAGCCCCGGTGGCACAGCGGTTAAATGCTCAGCTTCTCGCCAAAAGGTCTGTGGTTTGAACCCACCAGCCACTCCATGGGAGAAAGATGTGGCAGTCTGCTTCCATAAAGATTACAGCCTTGGAAACCCTATGGGGGCAGTTCTCCTCCGTCCTAAAGGGTTGCTGTGAGTTGGAATTGACTTAACGGCACCGAACAACAACAGTAGTTTGATGAGGTGTAGATACAGGCGTGGAAGTCTGGGGAAAAATTAGGCCTCAAGTGTTAGATCACCAACATTTAGGTGGCAGGCAGAGGGACCTTCAGAGTTGAATGAGAACCAGAGAGAGTAAGTGTGTGGTCAGCAAAGTCAAGGAAAGGGGGAGAGAGTTTCACAAATGGGCTCACCAGTGCCAAATGTCACATAAAGTACAATTAAAATGAAGAAAGAACCCATTAGATTTTACAGTGAGCATTTCACAAAATGCCCTTTGCCAGAACGTTTTCAGTGGAGTAGAGACAGAATTCTTGATGTAATGGGATGAAGTGTGAAGAGGTGGAGAAATTTAAACAGCAAGTGTAGTCTATTTTGGAGAGCTTTGTTGTGAAGGAAAGGAGAGGTGGTAACCACCACTCCCATAGACATAGGAGTGGGGACTTAAGCTTATTTATAGATAGGGAAAGGAGTCCCCCATGTGGAGGAGGAAAATAACCAACAAGGGAATCAGTCCCAAGAATCATGAGTTCTGTGGCTGAAGGAAATGGGCTTTTAAGCTGCCGAAGAGAAAGCAGTAGTTGGTGTTTCTTGTCACTAAGCCTGCCCCAAATTGGGCCACTGCTCTTTCTTTTAAAATCTATAAAAGGTAATCTATCCTAACTGATACTTGCATCCAGCTCCTGTAAATGAAAGGTGGATTTATTAAGCTATCATTCACATACAAAACGTGCAACCTATAATGTATTTTTCTATATCTGTCCCTCACTTTGTACTGAAAACTTCATCTATTCAGCTACTTAAGGGCATTTCTTGTCGTTGTTGGTATAAACAGATGATTGGTTTTCTCTAGCCCAGCTGGAAGAGAAGAGCTTTTAAGCAAGAGAATTACCATTTAACTCCTGACAAATTCTGATCCAGTACTTTCGCTGTTCATATCAGCAAGTGACCTTTATGTGCTCATTAAGCGGTCTCATCCGTATTCTTCATCCTGAGTATTCATACAAATTCCCCCTTTGCGGGAGGTGGAGGTGAGGGGTGAGGATAATGTAGTATCATGAAAACACAGACTGAAAATCTGGGAACTTGAGTTCTAGACCCTGTTAGTGCCATTCGCTAGTTTGGTGACTTTGAACAAGGCATTTTGCCTTTGTTTTCCTCATCTCTAAAATAAATATACGCTTGATGATCCCCCGAAGGTAGAAGCTGGTGTGCTTTTTTGATTCCTAGCCCGTGCAGTATTTTATGGAAGAGACACGGGATTAAAGTCATTTAAAACTTATTAAAAAATGCATACACCTCCAAATGACCAGCTTGAGAATTTGTTGACGATTACTGTATTGATTTCCTTCACTAACCAAAGAATTTTTAATGACATACCAGTGGGTATTGAGAACAGTTTAGCTACATTCACCAACAGTCAGCTGATATTTAGCCGACTGCAGAGAAGTCATGTGTTTTGAATGTAAGAATAGGCACTTTCAGATGTTCTCTGAGTGCCAGTAATTAGAGTAAGCTTAATCCACTGTGCTAAAAATACCCAAACATACCTTTTTTCTTACTAGTCCATTATTAATTTTACTTCAGATTCAGTCTTACAAATATGCACTGAGAACAAAATGAACTCCTTATTGAATTTTTAAAAAACCAGTTGGTTCTAAAAATAGGGAGTACACTTCAGGTTCTTTGATAATCTTTTACGAAATGGGAATGACAGTTTTTATTTCTCTCCCTCTTCAAAGCTCTTAAAATACTGCTTTGAGTATGCTTTAATTTTGTGCCAGGTGCAGTTCTTGGCTATGAAAAACCAAACCCGTTGCCATCCAGTTGTTTCCGACTCATAGCGAACCTGTAGGACAGAGGAGAACTGCCCCGTAGGGTTTCCAAGGAGCGGCTGGTGGATACAAACTGCTGACCTTTTGGTTAGCAGCCAAGCTTTTTTTAACCATTGCGCCAACAGGACTCCAAAATACTTCTTTGAGTATGCTTTCATTTTGTGCCAGGTGTAGTTCTTGGCTATAGTATTTAATTAAAAACTTGGGCTCTGGAGTCAAATTTCTGTGCCACCGCTTACCCTGGGCAGGTTACTCAAGCTTTGGTCTCCTGTGAATGCAAACAATAACACGCGCTCTCTCAGGACTCAAATGCTACAATATTGCAAAACTTGTTAGCTCACATCTACTCCCTCACTCAGTGAGGACTCAATGAAGTCACCTGTTGTTGTTATGCTTCTGTTTCTTTATGTTCTTACAATCCTGATAGTTAGATTTTCACCCGCAATAAAGAATTCCTTAGTTTGATGGCTCTTTTTCAGTTCTGAGAGAAAGAAAACATTCAGACAGCGTTGCCGGTTTTTTTTGTTTGTTTGTTTTTAATATTACTAGTTGGTGCTTAGGCACATCAGTCCTGATAATTCTTAAATTAATGTTTCCGAATGATTCATACAATTGAAGCCCTTTTCCTGGTGTTTAAGTGCTGCTTATTCGTCAGTAAGGGCACTGCTGTGGAGGAGGAGCGAGGATGGTGCTCCCATTAGGTTGTATATTTAACAGTAGCATTGAAGAAATAGAAGAGGAATTTTACCCAAGATGGAATATTAGTACACTCTGTGTAATGGAGTTATTTAACACTTGATATCAGCTAGTTATACCTATCATTTTTGTCAGTTCCTTTAATGTTTAATTTTTTTAATTCAGAGGATCTTACATATCATTTGGATCAATTTCCCCAAATTCACAGTTCTATTTGGTGAGTATGGGTTAGGGAAGATAGTTTGAATATCCTATTATCTTTTAAACAAATAAACAAAAACATAGTATAGTGCTGGGAAAGAGGAAACAATTTGTTCAAGTTGGAGGTGGTGCCCTATCTGTCCTCCAAGATTTATTCCCTTCACTGTAATAAATGAACACATTTGATTGCCCACTTTGTATAAGACTGCAGGAGACCCACCATTTAAAATAACGTAATGAATGTGGAAGTCAGGTAGAACAGACACCCAAAAAGGCATATGTATGACAAGGGAAGTCTGAGTTGTAGAGTGGAAGATCTGGTTTCTTGTCTTAGTACTACCGTTTGTAGGCCCTGTATTGGGCATCATTTTTTGTTTTTCATTTATAATTGAGAACGATAGTATCTGCTGTTGAAATAAGATGAAATGTTTTTGATAATATTGAAATTAATAGAGTATTACATAAATACTGAAAGGAGCCCTAGTGGCTCAAATGGTTAAATGCTCAGCTGCTAACCAAACGGTTGGCAATTCAAACCCACCTAGCAGCTCTGCGGGAGAAAGACCTGGTGATCTACTTCCATCAACATTACAGCCAAGAAAACCGTATGGGGGCAGTTCTACTCTGTCACACGGTCACTATGAGTTGAAACTGACTGGACAGCACCTAACAACAACAACAGCACATGTAAATACTAATTACTTTCATATTGGAGAGCAATATGGAATATTTGAAATTATTAGCAATATTTACAATCCCAAAACAGATTATGTGTGCTTTTCTATATATTATTTTACAAGCAGTAATTGTCCATTGTGGTTTTTTTTTTTGACAATCATTTATATGTTCCTCAGTGAAAATTACAATCTCAACTGAGACTTTAATTTAGAATGTAAGTTTGGCTTCCTTGGCTTAAGCATAACCTAGTCCCATGATGTTGGAATCCTAATTTGGAGAAGAATATGAGAGCTTCCCAGCCTTATTCCTTCTTCAAGGGTAAATAGCCTAACCTTCAGTCCAAGTATAGAACTTGGAAAATTTGAGGACAGGTCTTGGTTTCCCTTAAGCGATCGGAACTTTCTGTTCGCTTTCACTAACTTCTGTACTAACTTGGAACTGTTTCCTTGCAGCTTTTCAACAATCCTAGAAACCTTTTTTATTTGATTTTATTTTTTAATTAGAAATGAACATTGCAAGACCAGGATTCTGTCTAAATCATTAGTTACCTCTGTGTTATAGAAAACTAACCTTTTAAAAACAATTTTATGCTGTTAGAAGTCAAGATAGTAGTTCTTGGGGATGGGAGGTGTGACTGGAAGAGTGTATAAAGGGCTTCAGGGATTTCAGTAGTGGTCTCTGTCGATCTGGGTGCTGGTAGATGGGTGGGTTTGCTTTGAATGCTCATCACATTGTATGTACATTTATGACTTAATGTTCTTCTCTGTGTGCAAGTTCAAAAACATTGACATCACTTGACGGTATCGTCAGTGAGTCCTTCAATGAGAGGGTTTACGTTCCTCCCTGTTTACTTGTAGTTTGAATTCATCACAGGATGTATTTTGTTTTAATTAAATAAACTTAAGAAAAAACCTGGGCCAGCTATATTTTAAAATAGTCATAGGAAGGAGCCTGAAAAGAAGAATAGCAGAATAAGTTACTGTTTCTACATAGTGTGGTTGAATGATTTTTTTTTTTTCTTTTTGCTTGCCTGTACTTTTCAAAATTTCTGTTGTAAGCATTTATTACTTTTATAGTCTAGGAGAAAAATAATCTGTACTGCTGTAAAAGAAGAAATAAACTATGAGCATAGGGACTTGCACAATAGCATATGAAATACATTTAGAAAACGTGATTATAGGGTAAAATTTTTTCTACTGTTGTTTTGTTACAGATATGCTAGTCTGTATTTTTGCTGTGCTATTGAGGATCAGGACAATGAGCTAATTACCCTGGAAATAATTCATCGCTATGTGGAACTACTTGACAAGTACTTTGGCAGTGTGAGTAGTATTTTGATTTTTGCTTTAAGAAATTAAATGCCGTAGTGTTTTATTTTCTTTTTAGTCTTTTCTACAACAAGCTTATTATTTGATTGGGGGATTCTGACCATTTGAAAGTAGCTTTGAGACCGACAGAATGACAATTTCTTGTCAGTGTGCCTGTTCCATTAACTGCCAGAATTTCTTGATCCTACAGACCTCCTCATTTAATTATGGGGGTGAGAATGAGATTGAAGATCATGAAACAGAAAGGAATCCGAGTGCAAACATACTACTATTCTGGAAGGGCTTTGTATAGAATTTAAATTTGGTTAGCAGTTATAATCACAATGCCCAGGAAATATGTGTTTAAAGATCAGGTTTTGTGGGTAGAAAATGATGACGTTGCCCATGGGGGGAGCATGCGGAGTCAGGTCTTAACTTAGCTTTAGATGCTGTGTTTTTAAGTACTTGTGATGTGAAACTGAGGCCTGCTAAATCACCGATGCTTACTGAGCATGATTGCCATTTTTAGAAAGAGTGAAGACAGCCAATTCAGATTTCATTGACCTCCTCATAGTCGGGAAGCTTGCTGCTTTAAATTTTAATAGCACTTTTTTGCTTTTCAGGTGTGTGAACTTGACATCATCTTTAATTTTGAGAAGGCGTATTTTATTTTGGATGAGTTTCTTTTGGGAGGGGAAGTTCAGGAAACATCCAAGAAAAATGTTCTCAAAGCAATTGAGCAGGCAGATCTACTGCAGGAGGTAAGCTACTAGTCATTCTCTCGACTTGGCACTAGCATGTTTTGCCCTTGCTAGGGAAGTCTCGGTCATTTCTCACACTTTCAGAAATTACTCCAAAGCATGCTTGGCATGTAGTATCCACGTGCAGTTTATTTATTATAATCTGCGATCAGTCACATCAACTCAGTTATCTGTTGGTGGATGGTTCACTTGGAGATGGTCTGTCAGTACGGCCTCTTCTTATTGATGACTTGTTTTTTGGAGCCCAAAACACTAGAGTCTAAACCTTTAGTGGGCACAGTAAGAAAAGAAAAGATTTATCAAAGGTAACACTAATTTGAGAACACTATCCAATATTTGGAATTACTTAAGATGACCTCCTTTTTCATTAGTGTGGATAATCAAAAGTTGACTCCGAGATTATGGCATTTTCATTCCAAATTGGTTCACATTTTCACCTCATGTTCAGTAAATGCACACATAGCTAAGCAAATGATGACGCTTTATAATTAGACTCTTTGTAGTACCCTTTAGATTTGCATTAGCTTAACTAAAAAGAGAAGTGTTTGTACTTCTTGCTCTTCTTTTAAATAACAAACCGTATTCTGTCAATCTTCTACATTCTTACCTAGATGTCACCCCCCTTCTGTTTGTAATTACCAAAGTCATCCTGGTTTAATTGTATATTTGATGCTTAAGTGCTTTAGATTTGTGAAATTTGAAATTTCATAACTAACACTACCATTTTTCTAAAAACTTAGCGATATCTTAATTCAATACCTTAATGCAGGTACCCAGTTGAATTATGCTTTAGTGATAATTGTGGTCTTTATCGTGTAGAAAGGTCATTGCATGAGAAGGGCTTAGTAAATACAACCAATGCAGTGTGTTTTCATTAAGGTAAGTGTTAACTATATATATGTATATATATTTACATACATACGCATATGTATGTATGTAAAAGGTCTTGAATAATTTTGGCCCACTGGTTCACTTTCCAGAAGCATTGAAAGTATGTTTTTTTATTTCCAGTTTATTTTAGCTTGTTTTTGTTTGCTATGTATTTATGAGTTCTTCTACATTATTAACCAAAAAACCAAACCGTTGCTGTCCAGTTGATTCTGACTCATAGCAACCCTATAGGACAGAGTAGAACTGCCCCATGGGGTTTCTAGGGAGTGGCTGGTGGATTCAAACTGCTGACCTTTTGGTTAGCAGCCAAGCTCTTAACCACTTAGCCACCACGGCTCCTCTATATTATTAAGGGAGAATTTAAGTCCAATTTTTAAAGCACTTCTGTTGTAAAGGAAATGTCATGTTAAAGGAATGAATAAGGAGAGTGAAAATTCTTTTTCTCCATCATAACTTTTTAAATCTTGGCCTTTGTGGTGGGGGGACTGCTCTCTGGTCAGTTGTGGGAATTGCTCGAAGTTGAGATGACACCATCCGCAGTCTGCTTATATTAAATATGAGTGCACTGTCATTTAATGATCGTGTAGTTATCCTTGTGGCACAGTGGTTAAAACATTTGGCTGCTAACTGAAAGGTTGGTGGTTTGAACCCACCAGCTGCTCCGCGGGAGAAAGATGTTGCAGTCTGCTCCCGTAAAGATTTACTGCCTTGGAAATCGTATGGGACAGTTCTACTGCATCCTGTGGGGTCACTATGAGTTGGAATCAACTTGACGGCAACGAGTTTGGTTTTTTTGGGTTTATTATAGAGTATACTATATTCTGTTATGTTAGAACCTGGTATTTCCCCAACTTCCTAAATCTTTTCAGTTGCATTTGATTTAAAACATTTCTAAAGTTACTTTCTAAAAGTGCGTTTTACAAGTCTGGCTTTTAATTTAAGTACATATATATATTTTTTTCTGGAGAGTACTGTTTGGGGCACCAGTATCTCCTTGTGCCTGGATTTTTTTTTTTTTTTTTTTAAATACTGCTGGAAAATTGCTATAGATTTTACAATGTGACAAAATAAGTTTAGCATGTATTGAGTAATGTACTAGGGGAGGGAAAGTTATTATAGGTTCATATTTTTTTTTGTGTGTATTTATCTCCCTTGGTAAGTATTGTCTTCCTTACTTTTAAAAAATTTTTGAGAATATGCACAGCAAAATTTATGCCAATTCAACAGTTTCTGCATGTACAATTCAGTGACATTGATTACATTCTTCGGGTTGTACAACTGTTCTCACCCTCCTTTTCTGAGTTGTTCCTCCCTCATTAACATGAACTCACTGCCCCCTGAGGTTCCTATCTAATCTCTTGAGTTTGTGTTGTCAGTTTGATCTCATGTAGATAGATCTTAAAAGAGCACAATGCTCAAGTCAGACATGCTTTACTAGTTGAGCTAAACTATTGTTTGGTTTTAAGAAGACTTCAGGGGATATTTTTGGCTTAAGGTTTAACGATTATCTCAGGGCAATACTTTTGGGGGTTCATCCAATCTTCCTGGCTCTAGGAAGTCTGAAGTCTATGAGAATTTGAAATTCTGTTCTGTATTTTCCCTGTTTTAATCAGATTCTTCTATAGAATCTTGGATCAGAATGTTCAGTAATGTTATATTATCTTCGTTTTTGAAGTAGTATTTTTATATCTTTAATCGAGGAAAATAGGAATGGGTAGAGAAGCATAGGATGACTGTAGTGCCATGTAACAGTCTCCTGACTCCTCATCATTGTTTTATAACAAAGTGACTACTGTTAATTACAGTTCCTTGTCTTTAGAAGAGCGCTTTGGCTCTATTATTCATCTGTGGCTGCCTTTACAATGGTTTGTAGGCAAACCACAGTGTAGCTTCTATCGAGTACATTTTAAGACATTTTATATTTAATGGTCTGGGTGAACCATTTTTCTTAATTTAGCCATTCCGGTCTTGAGGAGCAGAAGGTGGTTGGTCCATTCTGAGTGAAGAGTGAGTTTGAAAACATTGCAGGTTAAGGTCTTTAAGAAGCCAGGCTAAAATCTGCATGGAACGGTAAGGCTTCAGATGGCTCTGTTCCCGTCATCAGCTTATGTCGGAAGAAATCCAGAGATGCTAAGATAGCTAAAAGGCATTCACTTACATGTTAATACATGATTCATGTTTACATCTCTGGGAGAGTATTTGAATATTATGTTCAGAGAAATAAAAGGGAATAAGATGAGAAAAGGCACTGCACAAGCTGGTTTTAAAAAAAAGCTTTAGTTATAGATATTATGACAATAAAAAATAACTGACGCTTAGTCGCTGTTTACTGAGCATTTTGTATGTGAGGCACTGTTTGCTTCAAGCACCCCATGCAACAGCCATGAAAAGATTATAGTTGGTCTTTTTTAACAAGTGAAGAAAATAAGGTTCCAGTGAATGGTCTGAGGCCACCTCGTTAGCAAAAACCAGGACGCCAAGCCCAGATCTGCTAGACTGCAGAGCTATGCGCGATCTTAACGCTCTGCTCTTTGCCCCATTCCTGTGTTGTGTTGGTATGTGTATTTTAAATGTTCTGTTTTGATACCAGTTTCTGTGTTTCTCAGAAATTGATAATTCTCCCAGAAACTTTCTTGTACTGAACAGAGTAGATTTCCTAAGGCTGACGCCACCGTTTACTTTTTATTTAGGCTGGGAATTTTCATTGTCCCAATTATTAGTAATTGGAATTTCTTTTATTAGATATGTAGATATAAATAATATTTTTCAAATAATTTCTGGTTGGCAGTCTCAAAATGCCCGGATCTATAGTAGCTTTTTTTGTTCTTATAGTTTAGGGCGTAGTATTCGTTTAGTCTATGTCATGAAATGATTTTGCTTCTAAAATTGTATGCCATTTTATATAGCTGTAAATATCCTTATCTAAATGCAGTCTTCAATTTACAGTAGAAGTCCTAATTGATTTTAATCTAGCTTTTCACGTATCATGATTTTTCTGTTTAGTGTCGGTCTTTTTCTTGAATTGATTATTTCTGATCAGCCAAAGATGAATTTGAACTTGTAGTGAAAATACCTGTGGTGGCTTAAAGGTATATGCAAATACAAAATGATTTTTATTTCAATTCTTTTTTTACTTTTTGAAACAAACATTTCTAAAAAAACCTGGCTTTTCTTCAGAAAATTAAAAAGTTCACTTTTGCCGAATTGGTATAAACATTAGGTATTGCTTCACTTTATAGGTGATCAGGACAGATGGTCAGTGAGTAAAGTAGATTTTCTACTAGCGTATTATAGTCAATAATGAGAAAATTACATGAATGTGTATTTAACTAAAAATTGCTGAAATAGCAGCAGGCATTGTGATTAAATAGTAAGGATATCTTTTTAATTTTACTTAATAACTTTGTAAACAGGAATCAGTTTGACCTTTCCAGACTGAACTGTGTGCTTATTCCTTTTGGTATGTGGTTTTATGAATACATAATCAGATTTGGGAGGTGAAGCCCAGAAATTGGTCCATATCCAATTTTTAATGTTTGAGTGTTGGAATTTAAAACATGTTTCCTTAACATGGCACTGGAAGCCTGATTCTTAAACTATAAAAGTGCAACATACTAAAACCCAAACCCACTGCCGTCGAGTCCATTCCGACTCATAGCGACGCTGTAGGACAGAGTAGAACTGCCCCGTAGGGTTTCCAAGACTGTAATCTTTACGGAAGCAGATTGCCACATCTTTCTCCTGCAGAATTGCTGGTGGGTTCGAACTGCAGACCTTTTGGGTAGTAGCCAAGTGCTTAACCACTATGCCACCAGAGCTCCTTGTAACACGCTGAGAATGCTAAATTGATATTCTTTGCGACACTTGGAATATTTTTGCCCACCACCGATTAAATACCTTATCTGAAATTAAATGTTTTTTGGGAGGATGAGTGATGCAGTTGGATGTGCTTTATAAATACACACATGTAATGACAGGACATATAGCATGCATTTTCCTTTTAAAGCCAGGCACTGACCGGTTTTTCTCTGCTCCTTAATTTTATAGAGCCAGAATGAAGAATGGGGAGGTTTGTCTGAGGATGTCTTATGATAAAGAGCAGTCTAAGA